CCATGTGACACATTTTCTCTTAGCATGTCATCATCCCTATTTCATCCACCACACCTTGAAAAAGTACGAAATTAAATGTAAATTACTCTCTATAAAATTGTTATTGCTCAGACAAAATATAATTTTTATAGTCTTCAATTTTGTTTGGTTACAGAGCTATCGATTAGAAAATCAGAGCCCTCCTGCCACACCCACCTATCACATCCTCTCTTTCACAATTCATTATATATAACCAATAGAAAGTCAAGGTTAAATGACATATAGTATAACGTTTTGTTCTGAATGGTTAGATGTCAATTTCATTCAGAGTACCAACATCGTTCCCGTGTGAAAGTTAACGACTATCTTGGATGAATTTGTAACGGGTCTTGTTGCATAGTTAAAAAAGCCAGAAAAATTTAGTGAACTACTTTTTGCATGTTATTTAGAACTTATAATGATGTAGATAGTAGTTAGACATGGTTCAAAGGGCAATAAAACAATAAAATTTAATTATAAATAGATACATACTGTTACGAACTTAGAGCTACTTAGTATAAACAAATGTAGTTTCATGTTACAACTTTAAGTCATTCTAGAAAGAAAAAAAAAGTTTAATTTAGGTTTATTTTGATTTATTTTTGGTGGTTACGAGGTCAGTCGAATTGACAGAGATAGGGTAGAGAAAATAACAGGGAAACTATAAAATTTTACTAAAAAACGTTTGAAATGCATTTAGGAGGTTTTAGTTTTAGGAATTACACAGGAAATTTGAGATGAGGAAAAGTATTTTTAAGTTTAACATTAAAATTACTTTGCACACGGACTATTCAAAACAAATACTCAATATATTCATGGACAAATCTTTACTTTATTTTATTAAAAATACTTCACTAAGAAATATGATTTTTTATATGTGAAAGACTCGTAATATTAACTGAAAGACTGCCAAATTTTGTGAAGATATACATACTATATTGAAAGTTAGTAGTATTAAATCTGTAAAGACTTTAAATGAGTACAAGGAGGTCATGTGGTTGGTTAACTTGATTGAGCCCGTGTTGAGAGAGTTAATGGATTCAAGTTCACTGCCATCTGCAGAGCTTCAGCCTTTCTCACATCCTTTTCTGTTATGGTATCTATGAATTGGTTATGTGCCAATGAATTAATAATTTAATGTGAAGCATTTGGGTATTATAATTCAGCAAGCTTTTCCAAATCTTTCACAAGTTTAGCTATGACCGGTCTCTTTTTCCTTCATACCCTGTTCTGGTACTTTAATTCGTATATTTCTTTCAGTTTGTCACTCTGAACCTGTCAGATAAGGCAGTTATCGATGCTTGATAGTTGTTAGACTCTCAAAGGTCATTAAAGCTGTTTTTTTTTGTAAATAGGTAGCAAGATGAATAGCTTGTTCTTCACTGTTTTACCTGTTCACTCTGGAAATTATTTGATTCAATTTTATTGTTATATCATTTCTTCAATCGTATTGTTGTAATCCCTCTGTACATTTTCAGAAGCTTCAATGACCTTGTCTTCAGTCAGATTTAGTTTTGGTTTAATTCTTCTTTAAGTATGATGCCTCTTTTTTTAATTCCTCTTTGAATTATTGTCTCTTACCTCTAGGCCTTCTTTTAGCTTTCTATCTTGCTCTTTTGATTTACATTAAAACCTCAAAATTAACTTAAGAAATAGTACATTGTCAGTATTTGCTTTTCTTCACATAAGGTAGCAAAGCTATAAACTCTTTTTGTATTTTTAGCTCAAACTTAAGAGGATACATTTGCATGTATCACAGCCAGCTGAGTAGTGCTGAAATTTAAGAACAGTGTTTCCATGACAATGACCAATATCTCACATGCTTAATGAAGTGTGTTTATTAGTTGCTGTATTGTAAATGCATTGTGAGAAGGAAACTGTTGAAGTTATTTGCTCATGGTGTGAAAACATGGTGAACAATATTTGTGATCAAGTATAGTAACATCTTAATTAGTTTAAGGTAACAATAATTCATTTCATTCTTTGCTATGATTCAAGTTTTCACTTTTTTGCTTATTAGATGGGTTCTTCTGTTGATATTATTCACCCAAGGATTTGTAAAGTTTCTGAAAATCAGAGCAGACAGCATCAGGGTATTTCATATACTGGGGAAAGAAGTACAACTCATGAAGGCATGGGAACATGGAACAAAGACATTCAAACAGATTTGAAGCAAATGGGTAAAAGAAATGATGAAGAAAGCACTATAGATGCTACATTTACTGCTGAAGGGGATGACAGTAATAGAGAAGAACATGATTACATCCACAGTACAACTGAATCATCTACTGTCAGATCTGTAGTTGAAGTAGTAACACAAGATGATGGACTAGCATTAAGCAGGAATAATGAGCTTACTAGTAAAACAACCACAGATGGATTAGTTATGGAAGAATCAGAAACAGATAGAGTAACATCTGTTGCTGTGTCATCCACAGAAGATGAACAGAGAGAGAGAAGCAGTAGACCCGAGGGTGAAAATCACCAACAAGATGATGATGATCCTCTGATGATGGAAGTAGAGAGCTGGGATGTTGACACCAGCAGTGATGATGATGATGGGCGAATTTCTTCACCAAGAAGGTATTTCAATTTATAAGCTCTCTAGAATTTTTAAGCAAACTGTTGAAGTTTTGCATTTGAATTGTAATGAAAGAGTTTTTCTAGAATAGTTTTAATGTTTGAGAAATAGTTGTAAGATATTAAAAGGTGATCAGCGTAATTGTATAGCTGTTATATAAATTTTAATACTGTTTGAGTAGTGTGAAATTATAAGCATTCACAAAGTTTGTGTGTGTAAATAAATAAACCTCTTTAGTGATTGTTGTAAATATTTTCATCCAAAATTACCATTGCTTGATCAAAATTGTTAAGTGAAAAACAGGAAAATATGTAGAAGAAACTAAGTTGTATAGTCTTGTTAATGCTTCAAATTTTGCACTATTTTAAATTTATAGGACAAGCAAATTGTATTGTCAAAAATTTCTGTTTACAGCTCTAGAACAGGTACACTTCATTTTTAGTAATAATCAAGTAGATGGAATAGCTGTAGGTTCTCTCCAAGCTCCAGTTATGGCTAGTGCCTTTTTGTTTTCATGCAAAATACTGATTACAAGCATGTCTGGATAAATTCAAATTGATAGTATACAAACATTATGCAGGTGACACACTTAGTTTTCAAACATAGAGAACATGTTAATAGATTTGGAAGTTACATAAATGAGTGTCACAAGAGTATTAGGCTTATTGATGAAAAGCAAAATGATCCTAAATGACCATTTTTAGAAAATTTAATTGCTTGAAAAGAAAGAAGATGCATTTTGTTTGAACATAGGTTTAAGATACTAAAAATGCCATCTGTATTTTCGTATGGACAGTTTCGTTCCAATGCAGTATAAAATTAACCCTCTTGCTATGGGCATGTCAGAACTTTGTAGAGAGTTACATTCAAAATTTAATTTAATTACTTTATTATCATGGTATATGAATAAACTTGGCATAAAACATGGTTAATATATCTACTTTTAATATTATATAAGTTTTGAGTTCTTAATTTTATAAGGAAATATTAAAAAAAGTCCTCAATCTCTCCTAAGTGATCATAAGTTCACTAACACAATTAAGAGACATTATGGTCAAGTTATATTTAAGAAAAATATTCAGATCTCATCTTCACATGAGAAACTTTTTCACATTAAAAGACTACACCCTGAAGCAACTGGTGTCAGCTGTGACACAAAATTCAGTGTGTCTGTTGCTTTGCAACATATATAGACAGTATGAAGCACCACCTTGGGGAGAGTATCAAGGGCATGCTACATTTGAATCCAGACTTACTCCAAACACTAGTATTAGCCAGCATGTCTTTCAAGAATGCAATAGCCTTCTTCAACAAGAGCATTTCTTCATAATTGCTTGTGATAGCAGTGAATAACTTCTAAGAATTAAATAAGTTTACTCATTATACAACATTGTTTACAATTACATGGGGACAGTTAAATTTTTGCCTATGTGATAGCATTTTTAATACATATTTGTGTATGGAAACAAACATTTTTTTTTGCTATTGACAAAAGTTCGTCAAAGGAAAAAAATTTAAGTTTCATGTTATTAGTGGATATACTAGTTAGCTGATATGAATTTTCAGAAAGCATTGTATTTCAACTTTCATATTATTTAATATACTATCAAATTTTAAATCTTCTTGATTAATAATTACATTTCCTAATGGAAATGAAAAAAAAAGATATAAAAAGCTGAAACATCACTTAAATATGTTTTTTAAATTGCCATTTTAAACTTCTGAAAGGTGTGTTAGAACAATACTCAACAGGCTACAAAAAAAGGCTTATTGATTGATTATCAGTGTGTTTTTTTCCCATGAATATTGTACTTGCAGCCAGCTTGTTTGTTTTAATAATTCTTACAGTTTTTTACAACTGGTTTGATTAATCATGTATGGATTACCATCTGCCAAAAAATATGCTAGATCCCTATGGTGATCACTGGTCAAACACTAAAACCTACTGCTTTTTGGTAACTGGACTCCACTAATTTTGAGTCCTGTTTTAAATCATATTGCAAATAACAATAACCCTAATTATAGTATTTTGGCACTTGTGTATAAAGTTAAAATCATAAATAATTTTCAACGTTCAACTGGTACACAATTAAAAACATTTTATTTAGGCCTATCTATGGCCTTCAAAAACGTTGACGACTCTACATGTTTCGATGAGGATGACGTTGTAACGTCGAAACATGTAGAGACATCAACTTTTTGTATGCCATAGATAGGCGTAAATAAAATGTTTTTAATTGTGTACCAGTTGAACGTTGAAAATTATTTATGATTTTAACAATAACCCTGTACTAATGTAATAAGAAAGCAAGTAAACTGAGCCATTGCCATTACCCTGATGATGGTGAACCTAAGATTTTGCTTTTGGAAAATTCTTTATTCCAGTTACACAAAGAATAAAGGAAACTTGGTAAAAACCACCCTTCTGGTCATGGCACCAAACATCTACCTTACAGATAAGATAATCACAACTGCAGGATGAATGGCAAAATATATTAGAGTTAAAACTGAATTTTTGACTTGATTGATTTGAAGAAAGAGAATAATCACAAATTCTAGAACACATATAAATATAACTCAGTCAAAAGATGTTCACACTTCTAACTAGGTGTGGAAAGATATCTATACCAGAAGAAATTCTGAAAAAGACTTAAGATAGTTAACCACTATATAGAAATCATAATGAGGTCATTATTCCTGAGTGCACTTTTCACACATCACTTAGTCATTTCTATTATGTAAAATAGATAGGACACAGTATAGACATATCTCTAAACCTTCACACGTTTGATCTCTACTAAATTATTATCAACAGTTTAGTACATTGTAAGAGTAATGCAATATTTAAATTATTGAAATATAAAACAAGTTTGTTTTTCTTCCATATTCATCAGCCAAAGGAATAGAGAAATTCCTGAAAGAATACTCCAGTCTGTTGATGATGAGCTTCGGCTTCAGCAGGAAGAAGAGGAGCTGGATAAAACTGAGATGATGAATGTGCCTCAGCCTGCTATCAAACAAAGGTTTACAGGACATAGGAATGCCCGTACCATGGTAAGCATTTCAAGGAATCTGTATTTGTGTAAGATAAAATATATTTAGTCTACCCCTATATTAACTGTTTATTTGCAGATAACTATATCAAGATAAAATTTCTGGTTTTCAAGAACATTTCCCACATTTTTTTTTATAAGATAAGTAGATATTGTGTAAGGTCACTCACAAATATGATAAAAGTAATGGGTAGCTTTTACATTTAGTAAAGTGTGTTGTAAGAGGTAAACAAAACTAGAGTATGATTCTATTTTCCCACTACTTATCACGGTTTGAACAGGATAATACAGTGTTCTTTCTCCTGGCAGATTACAACTTTTTTCTTTTAAAAGTAATCTAATCCACTAAATATTGGTGACAGAATGATACAGTGTTCTTTCTCCAGGCAGATTACTACTTTTTTTCCTTTAAAAAGTAACCTATTCCTTTAAATATTGGAGACAGGATGATAGTGTTGTTTCTCCTGGCAGATTACTACATTTTATTCATTTAGAAGCTATCCTAATCCCTTAAACCTTGGAAAGAGAATGATGCAGTATTGTTTCTCCAGACAGTTTATTACCTCTTTTTTTTTTAAAGCTATCCTAATCCCTTAAACTTTGGAGAGAGAATGAGACAATGTTGTTTCTTCTAGCAGATTACTACTTCTTTATCCCTTTCAAAGGTAGCCTAATCCTTTACTTTTTGGAGTCAGAATGGTACAGTGTTCTTTCTCCTAACAGATTAATACTTTTTCCCATAAAAAGTACCTTAATTCTATAAACCTTGGAGACAGAATAATATAGTGTTCTTTCTCTTAGCAGATTACTACTTTTCCTTTAAAAAGTGCCCTAATTCTTTAAACCTTGGAAACAAAATGATGCAGCGTTGTTTCTCCTGACAGTTTACAAACGCTGTTGTATAGTTAGTTAGATAAATAGCTAGATCTAGACTGTATGATGTAAGATTAGCCATAAAGAGTGTGTAGTGGTGATTTTAAAGTAATGTTCTCAAAGATTGTATTGTAATAACAGAGCAGGAAGAATAATTCATCTTGTCTGTTGGATTTTAAAGTAACTGATCCAACCTGTATGGACTTTGACAAAAGGAGACAATTATTTAAAGCTGTGGATACAAATGTGGTAACCAACAGTGTAATGAACATTTGTATGTAATTTTGACTTGTTTTAATATATTATTTTGAAACAAGTGGACTGTGTGCTGTTTGTTTATTGTTGAAATTTATCACCAACAAGTCACAGACACCTACTATAAATAATTTAGCCCATGTATACATACAAAAGCTGACACAGAATGATAGCATTTTCCAATATTATACCTTACCTCCTCTTGCATAATAGCTTTTCTCAACTTATGCTGCCCTCTATTAGTGCAGTTTTTTCTCACCACTAGCCTTGATGCTCCCACCTTCATGTGGTATAGTGGTGCTGTAGTATACAAAGGAGCATAAGATAACCATCCACCAATAGGAATGCAATACATTCTCCCAGCACAGCTGACTCCCTCTATACTGTAAAGCACTATTATCACTTCTCAATTTGGCAGTCCAGTGTGCAAGTCATGCTTGATTTTTGCTCTGTATTTCATATTATCTACTGTATTAAGAACTTTAGTTTGTTGTAATTTTTTTTTCCTAAAAATTATTTTGTGGAAAGTTTCTTTTCTTTTCCACACAATGAACTCTCAATTTAGTATTACTACAATGGCTTCTGGTAGGGATCCTCCCACTACTGATCCAACAACACTTACTGCTTCTGTGGCTTTAGTTTCCACACTGTTAGCAGAGGAAGCCTTGGCCTTGGTGCATCGTGAGTTAGAGTTTATCATGCAGCCAGCTACGGCTCTGGAACCCCAGTCTTCTTGTCATACGTGCATTTGCCTGCTTCCTATTTACATGATCTCCATCTGGCTCCTTTCTTGCACCCGCCTATTTTTGGCAATCTCCCTTATAGTTTAGTCTTGGGTGGAGGCTGTACATCAACATTCCTCCCTCTCCTCCTTTGTTTCTCCTTCATTCCCAATCCTCTCGTTTTCATGTCTCGCTCCCTGCATCCTCCCCTCTATCTGTGTCATCTTCCCGGGTTACTGCAGTCAGTTGCCAAATTGCCCATCAACGCATTTGCTGATGCCAGTTTTCTCTATGACTGTCCCATGGGTTCTGGCACTGTGGAGATGCCAGGTTTGCTCATCTGTGGTGCCCTTTTGGGTTCTTCAGGTTCTAACAGAAGGACTGTCTTTCCAAACCATACTCACCATCTGCTGACACTTATAGCTATTCCTCAACCTCCAGGGTTACAACTTTGCCATTCTAAGCATTGGTCTGATTTTTTCTTGCTTGCTCCAATCTTTTATACCCCACTCAATTGCCCTTGGCGATATAGTCTCCACCTACGTCAATGTGCCCTCTATCCTGGTACTGTATATAAGCACTTTATTTAGATAATTTTATCACTTTTTCTGGACAAAGCTTTTAGACATGGGTTTCTCTACATAAGTGATGATTAATGTACCTGGTTGTGATTTTTGCATCACCTAGTAGCTTTTTTTATATTGGATAATTGTTATCAAGAAAATTGCAACATGCCATTTTCAGGAATGAATTCACAGGTTACTGTTTCCAGCATGGAGGCTAATCAGCCCTCCTCTATTATCTAGCACCGCTCAAACGTTAGGGAGGGTCACTTTCAGTTGAGGCTGTCCATGATCTTATTCATTGTATGATGGATTTGCACCGTATGTTTTCTGCAGAGTTGTATGAGTTTTTCGTCTCACCTTCATACTTTTGGCCTGTGTACACTCCACTATCTGCACAACTGGTTACTTTTGGCACCATCTTATCAGTTGACAGAACCCTACATCCAGATTCTCCTTTCAGAAGCCACCAAAGCTGGCTTTCTTATCAGAGCCGAGAAATCCATTCTCTTGCTGACTTACAATATTCTCCATCTGGTTGTCTTTTTCAACATATTTTAAGCTGGACTCAGCCAACTCCCTTCCGGCTCCAAGGTATGGAACAAGAAGTCAGGCTCTTACTTAGATGGGTGGTTCTATCTCATTTGGGGATGTGGGCATCCCTTGAATCTCTCATTTCTTTGGGATGACCACACAGTGGTCACTATGCAACCAGTGTATCAGGAAATTTGATCCACTGGACCATCCAGTCTCCTTCATCAAGAGCAACATCTTAGTTCTCAAGTGGTGGTTGGATCACATCAACACTACCATCAGTGTTCCTATACGACCCCATGTCCTGAGTTTCATTTCTTCACAGATGCCTCACTTCAGGGATTGGGTGCTTACATTGACAGTCAGGAATTGCAGAGCCTATGAATGGAAAACGAATCTTCCTTCCACATTAATAATTTAGAACTTCTTGCTGTCCAACAGGCAATGGTTCAAGGTCTAGATCTATTGCAGGGGAAAATCATCATGATGCATTACATCAATTCTACAGTGGTCTCTTTTCCATCCTGAGGGCACGTGTTCTAGGGACCTTTGTTTTCGAACTTTGGACATTCTCTATTGGGCTCACTCCCATCATATCAGCCTCCTGACTTGCCATGTTTCAGGGTTGATGAATTTCATAGCAGATCATCTGTTTTGGCCCAGCCGAATTCTGCTGACTGAATGGATGCTCCATTGTGAGGTTTTCTGGTGGATTTGCTCTCAGTTCGGGGCTTCGATGATTGATGCATTTGCCACTTTCTGGCTATGATTCGATTCTCTACTTGGGAGCTGTTGGTAGCTCCAGATTGGCTGGCTCAACCATGGTTTCCTCTACTACAGTATCTTCAAGAAGGTCCAACTCTGCCTCTTTCGCTTTGGCTATCTCTGTTGAGGCAATTGTGATCCAACATTCTACACCCAAACTTTCCCAAACTTAAACTTCATGTATGGAATTCATGCAGTCCTTCGAATGGCATCGGGGTTTAACTTCTAAAGTTGTCTTGTACATATCTCAATCTATCCATAGGCTCACAATGGCCATTTATCAGTGGAAATGACACACTTATAGCCAAATGGTGTCTTATGAGGAAATTTATCACAATTCAACCAAACATGCCGACCATATCTTCTTTTTTGACTTAGGTCTAGCTTTTTCCACTGTTGCTTTATATAAGGCAGCTTTATCTACTACTTTTCGTTACTGTAAACTTCAGAAAGTTTTTGACTTTCAGTGCTATCTGGTCTTCTCCAGTTGTTTAGAGACCTTCTTTCCCAAATAACTTTTTCACTTACCCAACTGGTATATTAGGGTGGTAATACATGCTTTGTCTCAACCTCTATTTGAGTCTTTAGCCTCATTTACCATATATCACCTTTCTATTAAAGGGTACTTTTTTGTTGCTGCTGACATGTGGACATTGTAGGTTGGAGTTGTTTGCACTACTCTTTATCATTCCACTTCTGTTTTGCTATACCCTGATAGGTCCTGTCTTTCTAAGACTCTGGCAGCAAGGGAAAGGGATAACTCATTCTCACCAATTCTTTTGCTAAGTATTTTTCACCTCTTTGACTGATCAGACACTGATCATTTGTTATGCCCTGTCAGAGCCCTAAGCTTTACAGGCAAAGAAACTTCTGAGTGTCACATCTCATCAGATTCGTCACATTTCTTTGTCTTTACCTGCCATTTGAATTACCCACTGAAGGACATCTTATGAGCTGGTATATGGCCTTATGATAATATTTTTTTCTCACATTCCTTACATGATCTGCAGTTTTTTCTTCTTCTTCAGTCTTATCTTGGCACACCCATGATCTATGCTGACACTTTTTGTATGGATAATGCCCTCAGTGTCCCTTTCACCTTCTCAATGTGGAATTCTAGCTATAAATGGCAGCAGAGGTAACATGTTTTGGAAGTTAACATTTTCCTAAATTGAAAATGTATTTCCAATAGTACTTACCTCTGCTGACACTTTCTCGCCCTTACTCCCCACTAAGAGCCGGTGTTAGAGACTGGGATGGTATTAGTCTCAAAAAAGTGATAAAAATAA